ACAGTGCAAAACAACTCAGCTATCGCACCTGTACTGAGAGTAGCTGATCATGCAGTTCTTGTTGAACACACCACTGATGTGCTGCTGTGGCCAATCCCCATTCTCCTCTTGCATACTCATTAAAAAGCGAGCGCCTGCATGCAATGGGAGGGGGTCGACCTTGTGGTAGCCAACTGCCATCAGCGACATCATCGCCCATGCTGTGTTAACAACATGCGAAAGTCCTTCCAGCTGAGAATATACCTGAGGGAGACAATACCAAGATGCAAGCGGTCAGGCAGCAAGATGATGAGAATGCTGCTATGACAGGTACTGCCTTATCACAATGTTGCACCCCTGAGCATTCTGCTCTATCTTACACTGTCAGTCTTAGCAGCTTGCCAAACTCAACACCATTAGATTGGGTTTCCACAGCCAAGGGCACACTTCCAATCGACCAAGCTCCTTCACATCAGAAAGTACCCCCATGACACGGTTCACACCACTGAAACACAGAGACATCTTCTTCCTTTCTCAATACAACAATGTCTGTACTCCAGAGACCACCATATCCATGTGCCTGTGTCCCACTTTTTGCCATGCTACGTTACTCAGCAGCAACAATAAGGAATCCAGGGAACAGGACAGGTTGAAATCATCTATGGGTAATTAATGTCCTTTGCTGGCACAGCAACTCTATCACTCATCAAGAGTGAATGCAACAATGAGATAGGAGGATTCCCTCGATGTGTGCAACCGCAGACTGAAAGCAAGCCACAATTGCAGCCATTGTAATTCGTGCATTCAATTTTCATACTTCAGTTGGTGATTGTTTGATCACGCATAGCGGGAAAAATATATGACCACATTCTGTTCCAACAGCAGATCAGCACGTCACCGGCAAGGAGAAAAGAAGCAAGAAAAGTCTCTCAGCACTCCAAAAACGCGTGACCCCAGCTTCTGGAATTCAATTCTGGGTATCATAAACGTGTGGCACAATACTTACACGATCCTGGCATGACTTGTAGCTTTCGCCCCATCCACCATCCTTCCGTTGCTTCTCTAACAGAAATGTACACGCCTTCCTTGCAGAGTCACTGGTGCTGTAAGACTCGCCCAATTCACTAAGTGCCTCACACCCAAACCAAGTGCCATAGGTGAAGCACACACCCCACGATCCATACCACGACCCGTCATTCCTCTGAATGCTCTGGATGAACTTCTTCCCTGCTCAAAACAATAGAATGCCTCAACTGACAGAGGCCATTAGTTACCACTGTGATATCACCCATACAAGACGATGACCAGATATCTCTGGGTGCAGGGCACGCCTCTCCTGTACAGCCACATCATAGGGGAGATGACTCCAACAAGTAGCATAACAGCAAACAAGATAAGACAAAGCCAAAACATTGCAACAAACAGAAATGATAACTGCGTACACCCTGTCCTTGTTGTGTCCAATTCAACCAAGCCGATCGTTCACTCGTTCATTCGTCTCAACACTGAGAGCATGGTGGGAACTGGTCTCCTGTTGTCTAGATTGGAGTATGGGACTGCTTCTGGCTTTCCTTTGCTGGCTCTGGACGACCAGCTGCACTTCTGGTCGACCAGGAGTGATGACGAATGCATGCTATGATTTGCAACAACTGCATTTGCTTGGACAATTCCCGATGTCTGTAGGCTGGCGAAGGGTTTGCCTGTCATGTGATAAATTCAACAAAGGAATTTGGTGTCTGTGACATTTACACTGAGAATAGTGACAGATACCGCAAGAATGGTGTGAACCCAAGTTGGAGGAATACAGACACCCTAATCACAACACCAGCCCCAATGTGTCCTCCAGAGGACATGCTGCACCCCGCTGGAGATTGAATTCAAGACATTCTGGGCAAGGGCCTGTGCCCATCATCACTTTCCAAATGAGATGGTGTTGAACTTTCATTTCGATGCAACAACCAAAAAAGCTTGTGCACACAAGACTTTTGATGGAACTACCCAGCAACATGACACACCTCTGGCCAAAGCAGTGTCAATCTCCTTAGCTCTGTGGTTGGGATATTTCTTCCTGAATTCACAGAGGGCTGTCATGCTGGATGAGCTCAGCTCAACGTAGTCATAGTCGATCATGATGTTTGAAAACGTTTCAGCAGGATTGAACAGCTACAAAACAGAATGGCAACAGTTAGATCGCTCCACTGGTTTCATCATGTGCTGTTCCAAAATGACACTCATCAAAACCAACAGGAACATTTGTGTGTGCAAATCAATTCGTTAGATACTCTTCAGCAGGCCAAGGAAGTACAGAGCACCGCCTTGGCACACCCCCGAGACAAAAATGATCTCGATCATATTGATTCTTATTTCCTTTGATGGCCACTACTGCTGTTGGTGACAACTGGTGCATGTCATCCCATACACCTGGCAAACATGCAACATATCCACAAATTCCTGGCTGCATGACCCACCTCAACAAAGGAGTAACTCCTCGTGTTTTCGTAAGTTGCCCAACCCCCACTCGGGTTCTGATAGGACAAGATGACATTGACACAGTCGAACAGTCTGTCATCGGGAATTGGCGGGCCAACAAGCTTTTCAGGCAAAGTCCCCAATGCAAACACTGCCTTCAAGGCCTCTGAAGCACAATCTGCAATTGGCCAGCCATGGTCTTTCGTGGAGAACGCCCAGGCGCCCTTCGAGATGTGGCGATAGAATTCCTCCAAAGGGGGAGCCGGGTCTTCCCTCACCTATGCAGGTCACACATGGCAGTTTCAAGAGTGAAAAAAGCACAGTGCTGAGGAAATCAATCTCTGGGGCAGCCAATACTTAGCGGCAACTACTTGCGTTACATAGATTCATTGTGCGTTGGGGTGCCTGCAAGACTCGCTGCTTTGCATGAATTCTACCAAGGCTTAGAAATCAGCATGCACAACTTCTGCCAATCTGTACTATTCTTGTACTATTCTTGGCATGACCACATAAAATTGCGTCTGCAAGATGTACAAGCATTGCCAAGGGTGAGACCCGAAGGCATGTTCCAGATCCTCTTACACACAAGAATCCACTCAAATCAAGAGTCATTGTGCACTGTTGAGTATAGCCTATTGGTTTCTGCGGACTCACCAGTCAAAGAGACCAGGCAGATGAGCTTGTTAGCACAAGGTAAGTCCCAAACAGGTGCTCATCACCACATGTGACAAGTTGCATGGGCTAACCCCCTTTGCACCATGCCTTTATTCACCAACACAGCATATACCTACACTTGTATCTCCGCATACAAACTTTCCGTAGACAACTATTCTGTGTAGTTGCATTCCTTTGATGAACTTGCACATCTACATTTCATGGCACATATAAGTTCAAATGGTGCAATTGAAGTTTGCATTTGCCAGCTCATGCCCGTGGATCTTTCTGCCTTGCGAGATCAACATCCACTCCAGGGCAACGCTAGCGCATCACTGTAGTTGCATGCCACACTGGATTCTACACACAAGCTGTGGCAGTGCATGTCTGTGTATGTTTGCTAACAACCCATTTTCTGGGTTTTCTGAAGGGGCAAGCCTGCACCAGCCCTGCCATCCCTGCTCAGTAGGTAATCCATCCATTTTGGCACTGAAGTCCAGCAGATTTGACAACAAGCCCCACACAAAAGTTGTTGCTCACCATAGGTGCAGGCAAGTAGGGCATTGGCCATATCATAGTTCCTTCCAGGGCATGGCTAGAATTTCTGGGCACCTCATCACAAACCAATGGAAGCAGTCCTGCTTTCGCTGGCTCAACACGACTTCAATATGAGACCGTGACTGCTGCTCTCAATGCGACAGACTGATTGGTTGATCACCCCCCCTGGCAACATTTGGCAGCCTGGAGCACAAACACTCAAGCACTCGCCTGTGTTTGTTCTAAATATTGATTCGCCAGCTTCAGACAGCCTCCAATCTCCTGCCCCAGGCCCGTTGCGACCAGCGCCTGAACAGAGAAGGCTGTGTCCCAAAGCTGCGATCCATTGTATCCCTGCATCTTCATGCCATCCTCAGCCACCCACAGGTAGTCGGGCACACGTGCAAGGTGCCTGGGGACAAGTAAGATCTCAATCAAGGTCTTGCTATGTATATTCTGATGTTGAGCAGAAGGGTGCCCAGCCGCACAACCAATACCGGGAAATCAGTGCAAGTTGTTTTAGCAGGTACAGGTTCAGCCCTGCTTCTGATTTCAAGCTCCTGCAGAATCCTGCCACTGAAAGAAGTGCGAAGCTGGAACATCCAGCGAATTCTGTGCCAAACGCCAGCACCCGTGCATGCGGACATCTGGAGCTCTTCAGCAACATTGTGATCAGTAGGCAGGAGCTATGACAGCATTGTTTGCGAGTGAACAGTACGCAGTGGATGGGCCTGACAACTCTGCTACAACACACCTCTTTACAATGCCACAATGCTCACCTCTTGAACGCCACTGAATCTGGGTCTTCAAACCAGCATGCCAGCAGGTTCAATGCCTTGTTTACAGGTCCAATGTCTACATACCGTGTGCTGTCATCCTGACACACCAAATATCACAGTACTATCTCACGCACTGAAAGGCTCCACATAGTGCATCTTGACTGGAACAGACAGAGGGGCCTGAAAGTCAATCGTAGAGAATGTTCCACTTTAAAACAGGCACTGTTTGCCTGTCTTTCGGCAGCAAGTAGAATCTGTGGTAAGTGTGGAATAGAGCTTAGCAGTATGGTAAACAATGCAGAGCAATGCCAGCATATTGTTTGGATACAGCAGCTACTGCATGCTCATTCTGGACATGGATGATATATATCAGAGCATGCACAGGTAGGCCAGCACTCGTACCTCATAGTGTATGAGTTTGAGAGTTTCTTTCAGAGCCTTCTTCCTGAGTGATGAGCCCATCAGCAAGTACTCACACTTGTACAGAAACCACCACAGCACGTCCTGCCCACAAAGACATCACAGGATCATCAGTTTATGTGCCGCTTTGTGGCGCTGGTCCTTAAATATACCAAATCGATGCCCATGCAGAGCACTGCAGTCGGCAATTTCGGCTCCATCTTTACCAAACTTCAAGCACATGAGGCAATACGAAACATCAAGAGGACAAAAGCGACTTGGCAACAACAACAGAAGAACACAGAAGACAGAAAAACAAGAAGCAAAACTCTGCAAGCCATTTTCCATTTCCTCTGGTGCATTTCACACACCAGCATATCTGGTCACAGCAGCAAACAAAAGAGCCACAACAGATAAAGGCCAAGCACCTGCCTGTATAAGAGGGTGGGGATAGTACAAATCTTCCTTTGCACACAGATTCCTTGCGCCGTTCCAGTCGATCCCATCATATGCCACTGGGTAAAGCTCCTCCCTCGCAACGCAGAAAAACACCTCACTGAAGTGCAAAGATGGGGCATTGGTAACATTGACAATGTTGATGGAATCACTCTTTTCACTGCCCTGCAGGTGCCTGGTATGTGCTTGTCGCAGTTGGCAATTGTCGATCAGGTTGCCTTCTAAGACGCAGCAAGAAATGCACAGACTACACCACATGGCCATCACCATTGCAGCGAACATGAGATGGCCACCAGCTCAAGAACAACCAAACACAGGCCCAGATGCATTCCAATGATATATTCCATATGCAGGAAAACAACCATGCCCTTGGCTTCCCCTCTTGAGTGGGATTGTTCTGGATGAGCTGAATGGCCAACAAGCCAACATCAACACAACCATAGTTGCAACAGCATATCGATCACAACTCGTGAGCAGGCAATAGCAGCTTCATGCAGGGACAGCAGTCATGCACGGAGGGTGATAGGGGACAAGTCGCTTCTCAGATTGCCACATTACAGCACTATAGATGACACATACCGCAATTGCCTGACAAGATCTGTCTCCTTGCAGGTGCCTCGCACTCCATACACATAGCTCATCGGCAAGTACACCTGGGCAGCAGCAGGGAGGGTGCTCAGTAATCGACTGAAGGCAAGTTTGGGCACCTCCTGGATTCTTGAGATGGAATTTGTCTCAGAAAGTCATTGCATGAAACCTGGCCAACAATTTGCAGCCTGTTTGTCTGTTGGCATGTACTCATTCGTGGGAAGCCATGCCACTGCTGCGAATGACTTTTGCTCAACCTGCAATAGTGCACCTATGATGTGGCATACCACTGTCCATGCGCAATGGTGGGAAAGAAGTGTTCCAACTGCACGCGCCAGAGTGGTGAACTGTGAGTTTCAAATGGGAAGAATGCAGCAGCCTGAAAAGAATTAGTCAAAGACAATTGCAGCCATCGCCACCTGGAGCAAAAATCAAACTTACAATCGCTTGTTCTGCCTGTTCATTTCATGAATGAAACATGAAAAATAAATGACATGGAAGGTGGCCCAAAGGTACAGAGACATACAACAGGTAGTTCGCATATTGACCACAATGACAATCAACTATTTCAATCCCCTGGCCATTTTATGTTTCTTGTACTCTGCTGCATACCATCCTGCAGTGACACCACATCCTTCCAGGATGCAGGAGGCCAATGCCTGTCCAAGAGGCATATGGCAAGAGCCACATTTCGGGAGTCAAGGGGTTCACACCATCCCATGAATATACACCCAAAACAGCCAGCCAAAACTTGGCCCAGGACGTGTTGTGCTGGATACCACCGCGATCATGAATCTGTCAGACATACACACAGAAACATGTGAGAAAGATTTAGCCAAGTGCACAGCATGCATATCAGCAATTGTACACAGCAGAATTCTGCTATGCCATGCCATTAAATTCAGGCCACAGTGCTCTGCCATACTTCATATTGCACATCAGACAGCAAAAAGAAATGCCAGTTCTGCAGAACCCATGATTGCAGATTGCAGTTACACAGGGGTCTATATGCTTACCCACTTGCGAGCGGCCGCCACTATCTTGTCATCGCGATCTGCACCCATTATTCGCATCACACAATACCTGTGGATAGGATGGTCCAGAAAACAGCACACTTTAGCACCTGGCATAGTGGTAGATGATGGTGTTGGGTTCACAAAAGCAGGCATCCAAAACATGGGGCATTCTGAGAAGTGCTAATGTTGCACAGGATGGAAGCAAAGCTGCCCAAGTCAACAAAATGCAGATGGGAAGCAGATGACATTTTCCAATGCCATTCACCAGTGTCCGAATGTGTACTGGCCATCTACAAATGCATAGAATCAGTGCGCTTGTGCCCCAAACGTAAGGCAACACAATCGAGTCATGGAAATGTCCCGGGAAGCCAACAATGAACTCAAGCTTTATTGCACAATGGTGAGCAATGCACATCAACAAACGCACAACAATTCATTTCCCTGCACGCCACAGTTCCTTCCAATAACGCCTTAGGTGCGCAACCTACCCCAAAGACGTTCCAAACATCGTCGAATGGCCCTCGATGTGCAGCCCAAACCCGCCGTCTTCGTTCTGGTGGTTCATGTGGTACCTCAAGACCTCGGCCTTGGCTTCTGGCCCAAAAATTCTGTCCAGCGCGCCCGCCGTGTACAAGGCTATCACCAGCCCCGGCAGCAAAAATTGGGGACCGCCATAGTCCCCCGCCCAGTGACCGTCGTGCTGCTGCAGCGCCGCGTAGTACTTCGACCCGCACAGGATCTGGTGCTCAACTTGCGACGCTGCCACCGGCCCCTGCGCCTCGAGAATGCCGGCATCTTTGGACACCCGGACGCCCGCCGCTTTGATCTTGTCCGCGGCCTGCAGGCGCAGCAGCTCATCTGCAGAGTGGTGCCGCGCGTGCCTGTTCTCCGTGAATCTCTTTCGAAACTCCTCCGCGCGGGCTCGCTCCTCCGGGGTGCCCGCCTTGGGATCGAACTCCCAGTACTGCCGGCCCACGTTGTTGTTCAGAGAAATCAGGTAGGGGTTGCCCCCGGAGTCGCCGGCCGTCACGAGCCGCCACATATTGCCTCCCTTCCCCCCTCCCTGCGCTCGGTTCCCCGAGATTTGTTGGACAGGGATTCGCAGAACGCCAGGCAACACGTGTCCGCATTCGTGTTTGCAAGGATTCGGGACTTGTCACACAACTTCGCCGTTGGGCCCGACGTTGGGGAGCACTGCTGATGTGATGCATGTAATTGGCGTACGATGGGTATCTGCCGTATGCGCTGTATGCACTGCATGGGATGGCCCGAGTATGCCACCATTGCTGAATTTAAAAAAAAAGAGTAAAAGGAAAGAGAGAGAAAACACTCTGAAAATGGGTTATGAGCACGTTGCTGCAAACCTTAGGAGTGAGTGCAAAGGAGGTGGAAAAGTTGGGAGACAAGAGCTGGTCACCAAATGCCACCATGTGTGCTCAACTGTTGCGCGGAAAGCTGCTAGCCCGGGGGCGGGCGCTCGAAGACCTCAAATCCTGGGACCCAACACTGGGCCCCGGGCCGGTGAGGTCCGGGACCACTCCCCGGGAGCTGGCACGGGGGGGGTAACCCCAGTACTGGTGTGTTACGCGCACCAGCCTGATGTGGGAGACGTCCTACTAATGGCCCTTGGTGTGGGGGACGCCCTGCTCAAGGCACGTACTATTCCTCACCCACTGTAACCTTTATCCATATTAGGATACGGGAGTAGGAGGGGTGGTCCCGCCTAGGTGCCCTGTAAGGACCTAGGTGCCCGGCGAGGCGGGTCCGCGGCTCAAAGAGGGCAGAAACCCCACACCCACATCCTATTCGTAACATTTGGTTTCGGAGCCGCCTGAGGGTGGCGGCCACGCTTCCACCTGGGAGCGCGCGAGAGTACAAGACGCCGAAGCCCTTCCCCGGCCTCCTCCATGGAGGCTGAGGAATCGGAGGAACAAGCCCGGGATGGGCAGGGGGAAGGACAAGCCCGGATGGGCAGGCGATCGATACAGCCCGGGATGGGCAAGGAACTGAACAAGCCCGGGATGGGCCAGGAGGTGTAACAGTCCGGGAGGACATGGCTGGACCCTCCACAGCCACATCGGCACCCGCAGCAGAAGATGAGCCGATGGAAGAAGTGGATACCCCGCCGGCGGTGGAGAAGACACAGGAGCAAGACCAGGACGCTGAGGCGGCAGCGACGTTGCTGAAGATCCCTGGTATCAAAGAGCTCCTGCAGAAGATGGCGGATACCGCGGCCGAGAAGGCGAGAGCGAAGCGGGATGAAGAGACCGACAGCTACGCCAGCATCTCGTACCGATATGTGGGAGACGCCCCTACTACGGCTCCTTGTGGGGACGCCTCGCCATAAGCAGCACGCATTTCATTCCTCACTCCAATGTAACCTTTTTATCCATATTAGGATACGGGAGTAGAGGGGTGGCGCTTCTACAGGTGCCCCGTGGCGACCTAGGTGCCCGCGAAGGGTCCGCCGCTCAAAGAGGGCGTGAACCCCACACCCACATCCTATTCGTAACAATTGGTTTCGGAGCCGCCTGAGGGTGGCGGCCACGCTTCCACCTGGGAGCGCGCGAGAGTACAAGACGCCGGAGCCCTTCCCCGGCCTCCTCCATGGAGGCTGAGGAATCGGAGGAACAAGCCCGGGATGGGCAGGGGGAAGGACAAGCCCGGGATGGGCAGGGGGAAGGACAAGCCCGGGATGGGCAGGCGATCGAAACAGCCCGGGATGGGCAAGGAACTGAACAAGCCCGGGATGGGCCAGGAGGTGTAACAGTCCGGGAGGACATGGCTGGACCCTCCACAGCCACATCGGCACCCGCAGCAGAAGATGAGCCGATGGAAGAAGGGGATACCCCGCCGGCGGCGGAGAAGACACAGGAGCAAGACCAGGACGCTGAGGCGGCGGCGACGTTGCTGAAGATCCCTGGTATCAAAGAGCTCCTGCAGAAGATGGCGGATACCGCGGCCGAGAAGGCGAGAGCGAAGCGGGATGAAGAGACCGCCGAGAGGATCGCCTCGCTGGAGATCGCCGCCAACAAGGCCAAGAAAGAAGCTCGAGAGAAAGAGCTGGCCATGAAGAAGGCGAAGCAGCAGAGCCGCGAGGCACAAGAAGCCAAAACCTCCGCCGAAGACCAGGTCAAGGCGTTGAGTGACCGCCTCCTGAAGCAAAAGCAGCGGGCCCAGGAGGCAGAAGAGAGAAGCGCTCAACAGGTGGTGCCAGCTGTGAGGGCCCCCAGTCCGTCGGAGCTGCCCATGCCAACCATTCCAGAGGAAGACTGGAAGGTTGCTGGCAAGCAGCGCTCCAAGCGGAAGAGTCCATCGCCAGGTGAGCGGCCGATGGAAAGTGAGAAATCTCCATATCAACGCCGGGAGGCCAAAGCCTTAGGGCGAGTTGAGAGAATGCAAGGCCGAAAGGTCAAGATCCCGGAGCTACGGCTCAAATCCCAGGTGTATGTGAGAACACCTAGTGGATCGGACGGGACTGGAGATGAGTCGCTCACAGAAAGCGCTCAAGCTGTTTGCGGAAAAAGTCCGCCAAGGCCGGGAGGCCATAATTGGAGCCCTCGGAGGCCTGCGCTACCAGAATGGGGGCCGGGTGAAAGCTCAAGGGTGCCGGAGTTCGTTCCAGACACTCGAGATCCATATAGCCGGCAACCACCGTGCCGTGCAATGTGGACAAAGTTCCACAGTGATCTCGTCGATGAGCTTGACGAGGGATGGCGGATGGCCGCCGACCAGTTTGGAGAAAGGTTAACCACCGCCAGACTGGTTAGAATACAAAGGTGGTATGGTCCTGGAATGGCAGATCAAATTGCCAAAGAGGACCCAAATTGGCCAAAAAAGATGGCCTTTGCGCTCAGGCATATCCCGGAACCATGGGACTTGAGCGAGGGGAGTCCAGAGAGACCAGACCCTAATGATCCCCACGAGCGGTGGGAGGAGATCTCGGAATTGTCGTTCTCATCATGTGCTTCTCCTTTGCCGGGTGATATGTCAACCCGTGCACAAGTGCATAGGATGGAGAAGGAGAGACGACGGATTCGTAATCGAGATCGTTTTGCTCGGGCAAAGAAATTAGACGAGCAAAAGGCCAGAAAGGCCAAACAGCGGAGAGAGTTGAAAGCGCTGCGACGTGAGCGGGATCGTCAATTGAATCCTGAAAAGCATGAGCGTAAGCGAGCTCACAAACGCCAGCGCAAGGCTGAGATCAAGCGGTTTTTCTCCGCAGGAGGCAGCCAAAAGGCGCAGCGCCTGGAGGTACAGCCCAAGGTCGATGAACTGGAC